GGAAACCGGCAATCATTTCCTGTACGCCATTTCCAAGGCTACCATCCGAACCTCTAAATTCGAACAGAAAAACTAGCTCTATAACAAGGAGCACAGAAGCAAGATAGTCACCAGTTAGAACGATAGCCTTGACGTCGTTTCTTCGGGTGGCCTCGTCGAACTTCTCCTTTAATCCTGTGAATACTATGCCGATTCCCCAAGGAAAATTCAAGTAGAGAAATCAGTAGCCAAACAGAAAATCGAATCACAAATTACAAGAGATCAACTGGAGAATCAGTAGCAGGAAACGGGAAAGAATGCCACCGAGAGAGAGAGAGAGAGAGAGTGGACATTACTTGGAATAGCTAAAGCATTAACTGGAGGATTGAAGATGGCGATCACCGCCACGCCGTCGCTCCCGACCTCCATAGATACGTGAGGCTTCGCCATGGCCGGCCTGGTAGCTGCAGGGAAATTTGGATTCTGACTATCTGAGGGTTCGAAGAAAGAGGAGGACGGTGATTTGGAGGGAGCGCGTAGTCGTAAAGGCCGGGATCTTAGGCAACGTGATTTTGATTCCTTTTATAGAAGATGCGGGGCCGGCTGGACTCGGTGACAGTCTCTATCCAGTGACCAGTATCCCCAACCGACGACTGTGAAAATGAAATGCGACGGGAATGTATTATCGTGTCCAACATTTTAAAAAAAGGGTTAATTGCATTGTTGGTCACTGAAATTACAAAAAACGTTCATGTTTGATCACTTGAAATATTTAAATCCATTCATGGTCACTACATTTAGTAAAACAATTCAAATTCGGTCACTCTCCGTCCAACTCCGTTAACTTTGTCTGATGTGGCAGTGAACTTTCATAGTTGACCGTTAAATGTATGACATGGCAATTAAAAAAATAATAAATAATAAAATCTGAAATTTCTTACTTCATTATCAAGTTATCATTACCCCTAAAATAAAAAATAAAAAAAATTTAATTTTAACTCCCTAAACTATCTCATTAATTATCAACAGCTCCTCACTCCCACCTCCGCCGCCTCCATGCTCCTTCTCCGCCGCAAGGACCCACAGCCCCAACCTCTTTCTTCTACTCCTCCTCTCTCGAAACCTTGTCGGGGGCATATTGGTCCTTTCCAAACATGCCTTCTTCCCCGTCAGCAATTCTCTTCTCACTGCCTCGCCGAAGTGGTAGTCGCGCGCTTAGCCGCAGAAACAAGGAGAAGCGGAGAAACCAGTTACACCGAGCGACTTATTCAGTCACAGATCCAGAGAGAGGGAGAGGGAGAGATTGGGGAAGGGAAAGTGGTTATGAAACCCTAGAATTGCCCTGCGCTTTTGTGGTATGGAGAAATGGTGGCTGGAGTGCAAAATCCCAAATTCAAAGCCGTCTAGGATTAGGTGATCAGCAGGTCGAGAAAAAAAATCATCTGAGAAATATAATCACGTGCGACCGAAGTACAATTGGTTAGGGTCGACGGTGATGGGCTTCCGGTGGTCTGATTCAGGGATATACGAAAGCAGCAGCGCCGATGAAGTAGAGCAAGAAGCCAAGAACGAAGTAATGCTAAGCAGGTTTAGGAAATTAATATGAATAATTTTTTATTTTATTTTAGTGGTAGTGATAGAGGTGGAAATTTCAAATTTAATTTTTTCAATTTTTTTAATTGCCATGTCATACATTTAACAGTCAACTATGAGAGTTGACTGCCACATCAGATAAAATTAACAGAGTTGGACGGAGAGTGACCAAATTTGGATTGTTTTACAAAATGTAGTGACCATGAATGGATTTAAATATTTCGAGTGACCAAATATGAACATTTTTTGTAATTTCAGTGACCAACAATGCAATTAACCCTTTAAAAAAATAGCGTAATGTTATTTTTTATTCAAACTTTTTCATATTATTTAAATCTATTAAATGTTATTAATTAATTAATTAAATCTTTCTTAATGCATCAATATATTAGTTATTTTTACGTTATCATTAATAACTTTGTAACTCTTTTCTTAGTTAAAATACTAAAATGTTGAAATGTTGACCTGTATGTGTCTCCTCCAAATCAGTATCATGTTACCAAGTCAATATTAATAACAAAATTGCTAACTGAAAGTTAACATTTGACTAATTCTTAGTATTTATATAGGTTTGGCTAATAAAAAAATTTAGAAAAATGTTTGGCTAATAAATAGTTATTACCCTAAAAAACATAAGAAAGTATAGAAAAACTAAAGTGAACAAAATGGATTTTTTTTATAGATTTATTATATACTAGATTTGCGCTCTTCCGTTGGTCGGATGTATTTCGCTAATGATATAAACAATAGCAATTGTGGAAAGTAATATACATTTACTTAATACCATATAAAATTCACATTTTAAATTACTGAAATATAAGAAAGGAACACATATCAATAACAAATTCAGCATTCTAACTAAGTCATCCATGAAAATCCGAAAATCAAAATTGCATGCACGTAATAATGCAAAGAAGCCAACTCCTACAAATTTTATATGCTACACTTTATTTTACAAATTATTGCAAATTTTCTTTTATACTCTCTATCATTTTGTCAGGCTTCGTTGATCAATTGGAATTTGATAATGATAATTATTAAAATTTATTTTTTTATGATGAATATATTATTATTATTATTGTTATTATTATTAATATTTCTCCCAAAGTTTCATTCTTTTCATGTTTACGTGAGTAGTATAAATACAAATATCAGCAAAGTAAGGTTTTTTTTCGTATATGTGACTAATTACTGGAAAAATTTGCATAACATAGAGTTCACAAATAATCAAAGCGAGTTTTCTATGAAAGTCCTTATTGAAATTAAAAACCAGGACTGTAATATGGAAATTGACTTCTAAAAACACCTAATCACATTTCATTTCGTTATGCGTTGTCACACATTTGAGTAGGTTTAATTTTGACTAATTTCTCTCGCTGCCTGATCGATTCAAAGGAACTCTCTATTTCGCGTTAACGTATGGAATACTCTAGTTCGTTGACGCCATTGCAACCGCAACTTCTCCCGCTCCTGTCGCCTCTATTTGTGACGGTAAATTTGAAAGTTATGCTCAATTCGAATTTTAATTTACTCAAATCAATCTTGTCCAGATACCGGTTTTAACCTAGAGCTAGTTCAAGGACTGTTGCTGTCAATGTTTTCCAGTAATTTCCTTCATCTAGACGCTTGCTGCATTGCATGAAAACATGGCTTAGAAAATGTGGTTATATATGATGTTATTTTATTTTTTTGAACAATAATGATTAATTAAAACCAATATATATGCACCTGAGGTTGATACAGCCAAACAAATGTCTTTTTTTTATTTTTTATTTCAGCATGAATTGACCACTTAAGATTCAACTGTTGTTTGACCCGATAGAAAGTTAAAGATTTGGCGGTATATTATTTTTTGAAAGATTTTATTACTATTTTGTTTCAAATCAAACATTGGCCTATTATATTGTTGTATTCCATCATAATACTCAGCACACAATTAATATTTTCTTAATAATTAATGGAAGAAATATATATTGTTGAGTTAATACGTTTAATCAATTATTATAAATTTTTTTTATGTCTATTATAGTTTTATGTTTAAATATTTCAGCATATATCATATACCCATTAATGAGTGTTCAATTATTTAGTCAAGACTCACCCAGACACACCGTGTAAGTTATAAACTGTAGACGTAATACGTTATGACACAATTCTCAAATAATATTTGAATTTGTTATCTTATACAATATTTGTTAATCGAAAATTCTTAAAATTTGAAGTAACTGCGTTATGACACGATTTTTCAATCATAATATTGGAATATATTATCTTATACAATATATATTAACTAATGATTTTAAAAATTCGGTTCGGAGTAACTACATTATGACACAATTTCTCAATCATAATACTGGAATGTATTTTCTTATTCAATATATATTAACCTGTGATTCTAAATATTTAGAGTAAATCTGAACCAATGCTTATTGACCATAGACTTAATAAATCATAGAACTTGACATATTGCTGAGCTTCTTTCCTTGATCTGGTACTTTAGTGATTGATTCCAATTTTTATAAACATTGTAATATTTTGTATAAACCTAAGCTAAAATATAATTACGCATGCCTTGCTATTGCTAATGATTAAAATGATAAAAGTTACCTGCTGGAATACCTAAATCATAAATTATTAGAAAATAGATGATCAGTAGTATGATGTATATTAGTGTTTGAATAAAACACAAGGGCTTTGTCCCGGGCTTAGTGTTTGAATAAAACACAAATGGTGGTTAGTGATTTAGAAGTCTAATAATTCTTTTTTAATAGTTTAAATGACAAAAATATTCTTCTTACAAATCCTCAGAAGGTTAGAAATTTTGAATGAAATATGTTCTGATGGAAAACTTCCATATAGTAGTGGTTAGACATAAGTAGGATTTAAGTGAAAGAAATTAAAAGAAAAACAAAAGTTAAACAACATATGTGATATGTTGTAGTAGAAAAGTGCATTAAGGAGTTAGAAATAAACATTTGAAAAAGTAAGTTACAAAATTGGGCTAATACCACTACAACACCCGAACTATCGCGAAAATGCCATTTGAGTCCTATTGTTTTCAATATTCCATCTATGTCATGAACTATGATATTTGTGTCATTTGTATCCTGTCAATTTTGTTGACCGTTAAAGATAACAGTTGACCAAACGGTGGTCAACGCGAAGTTGAATTTTGTTGACGTGGCAAAAAATCAGACTGCCACATAGATGCCACGTCACTAACCTAATATTTTTTTAATTTAAATTAAATAAAAATTGAGTTAAAATTAAAAAAAACTGTAAATTCAATTATAGTATTAAACAAACTAAAATTAAAACAAAATCACAATGGAAATAGAACTCCATTGGCGGTGCTTCCAGATCTGCTTCTAGGGAAGAACACGGTCTGTAGATCTCCTCCCACTCCTATTTTCAGATATGAAGAGGTGTCATGGTACGAGGAGGGAGGCAGTACCCGGTGAAAGGCAGGCAAGATCGATGATGCGAGACCAACTCCTCCTTCCTCTGCCGGCCAACTCCTCCTTCTTTCTTCTTCTTTGCGGTGAAAGGCAGGCAAGATCGATGATGCGAGACACTACGGAATTGAAGCTCTGCCTCTCCACTTCCAACAACAAAACACCGTCGGATCCGCGCTCGCCGTCGCCATTTCCATCTCCTCTCCGCCGCTCCCTCTGATTTCCCCTCTCTCCTACTTGATTTTTCTCTCTCAGGGATCCACTCCAACCCCTTCTTCTTTGTTGTCGAAGATCTGTCTCGACCACTTCTACAGCGGAAGGCGCACCCATCTAAGGCGACGGTTTGAGGCGTCAGTTGTTGCAATCGAGGAGCAATGAAGGAGGAGGGAGCGAGGAGGTCGCAGATTTGTTGAATCCCTCGGCGTCGTCAGAGAAAGGGTTAGAGAAGCAGGGTCGCCGATTGGGGAATCGCCGATCTAAGGTTTGGCATTGACAGATCGACGAGGGTATTGAGCTTGTTTAAGAGGATTGGGGGGTTTGGTGGGTTACGTTTCTGTTAAAATGTAGAGATTTGTGTGGGTGGGACGAAGGGATTAGTGGGTTAAGTTTTTATTTTTATTTTATATTTTAATTATTTTCTTTTTCTTATTTTATTAATATTAGATGGAAAAAATTAATATTAAAAATTCCACGTTAGATGCCACATCAGTGCTGACTAGATTTTATGTTAAAAACTAACGGTCAACAAAAGTAAACACTAACGGAATCATAGTTCAGGACACAGATGGAATATTGGAAACAATAGGACACAAGTGGCATTTTCGCGATAATTCGGGTGTTGTAGTGGTATTAGCCCTACAAAATTCTGAATTGCTATTCGTCGCCCTATAATTCAAATTTTATCGCCCTAAAACACAATAAATTGACATATTTACCCCTCAGTCCGATTTCAATTCTAAGCACTAATCAAACAATCCCTAGCCCCTTCCACACCCCAATCCAAATCCGCCGCCGCTTAAATTGAAGATGGCGTCGCCTGCTTCGTCGCCTCTGCAAGCTGGCCTCCCTTCATGTTCATCCTTGAGCAATCACTAACGAAAGGGTAGAAGAGGGCCAGAAATCAAGCAATGATCTGCTTCTGATGGAGTTCAGGATGCCCAATCTGGGGGCTGGGCACGATCCTTCTCCTCCACTTCCCCTTCCTCGAACAAACAAAGCTCGCCATCACAAACAAGTTTGAATTTAAGAGTGCTGTTGTTGTATGTCTGCTGCAATTTACAATCTTAGTGAAGCAGTTAGGATGATGGAGAACAATGATATATAGTGCTGCCGCTGACAAGTCTTTGTGGCCATTTAATTGGTAATGGTTGTGTACAGTTAAAGATTAATTCGACGGAGATGAGAAACCAGAGGAGTGTTCGCTTCTTTGTTTCTTTGGTCGTATTTCAATTTTTGTTATTTGGTGTAGTATATGAGTTTATTTTGGGTTTAAGGGTTTGATAGACAAATAAAAGCATTAAGGGCATTAAAGTAAATGTAATTTAATTAGGGCGACGAATAAGGAGTTTTAGGGCGACGAATAGCAATGCCCACAAAATTTTAGAGGAATGGTTGAAATTGGCCTAAATAAAGTTCGACCATAAATTGACAATAATTTGACTAGTACATAAGTGTAATCTATGGCTTTCCTTTGCAACACATATATAGTGTGGGTTTCAGATAGTTACTATGTATTAAACTAATAAAGCTATAAGTTTTACTGACTATAGGACAAAACATAGCACCCATTTTGCCAATTTAACAAAAAAAAAAAAAAAATCATCACCAAAGTTAAATTGGCTTAACCACTATAATCATATAAGTAGAACATACTCCAATTATTTATGAGCATACTAATCATCCATAGAATTCAACAAACAGTAAAACAAACTCACTAGAGCTCTATTTTCCTCATGAATATTTGTCGCTCATCTGGCGGTTCCTCTTAGCAAACTGATTCGCAGATCCGTTCACAAATTTGATTAACATGTGCGACCTTTGGTCATGCAATTAGCGACGATAAAGCCTCATTGTCTTTGGAACCGTCGGACTCGGACGTGGAAAATCTTTCACTCATTTGAAGAGATTTCCATCTAATTCACCTCAAGACAGTTCAATTCTAGGAACCAAATTGGATATTTAAATTCAAAACTCATTAATTTGTAAAGACGGGATAAGATAAAATTTTCTCTTTTTTCCCCATAACTTCCTATCATTGTACCTCTTTTTAATCAGATCGTGAATGTAGCATATCTATAATCCATCAAAATTGAAGCATGAATCATAACATGGTTGGGTCAAATAAATAGGACGAATTTGTTAGTTAGCTAGGGCTAATTAATTCTATTGATGAATTGAGAGGTCCAATTTCCGGCGGAGTTCGGTTGTGTTCTCATCATGTGGAGAGATCGGGCGAAGTAGGAAATGGTGGTCTCATGACTCGAGGGAAGTGGGAGGCAATTTTTAAGCAAAAGCATGGCGTGGTTAGTTGGTTGCTATTCATCGCTTTCTCTTAACAAACCTGTGCCTGTTCCCTCCTCTTCGCGAAACAGTCCTCTGCATTTTCCACATTTGAAATTAGCACACGTTGTTGGGCTTATTTGGTTGGGGTTTTAGTTAGTCGTGTTCATTAGTGCAGGTGTTTTGCAGCTGAGTCAACAACAACATAGTGGTTGTTCATTAGTTCCTGAAATTAAGGGATATGGGTAGAGTAGTGGCCGAGATTTATGCCTTATAGTTGGTTAGAGTTGTGTATTTATGTAGACAATTTTCATTCAATAAAAGTGATTCTAGTTTTCCACCTTTAAGTTTTACATTGTGGTATCAGAGCCTGCGTAAAAACCTAAAGTGGTTCCAATCTCCGGTGGCGGTGGCCATGATGGCCACCGCCCACCTATGTGTGAGGACAAAAGAAAAAAAGTGAAGCTCGTGGGGGCGAAGAAGAAACGTGATGGCTAGCACCCTCTGGCTGAAAGTGGTGAGCGAGAAAATGAAGTACAAGACCAGGTAGACCAGGACGAAAATGAGGGATCGATTTTCGGAGAAGATGAATCAGAACGAGAACGAGGTGGAGAAATGGAACGAAGTCCAGCGTGGAGATGGAGGCAATTCATCGATCAAGAACATTGTTCGTTGATGAGGACTCTGCCTCTGAATTGTGATTTTGCGGCCAGAACCAAGACAGGGAGGAATCGGCTTGTTGTTTTGACGGAGATTCTGAGGGACTGAAGGATTGTCGATCTGTTGGATACGTGGTGTTGTTGCAGAACCTAGACGAGACGACATTCAAGGCGTCTTCTCCAATCACCGGATCAAAGGACGAGATATGACAGATCTTCGACAAGTTTGACAAGAACGGCGACGGGAAGATCTCATGCTCGGAGGTTATCGAGAACCCGAAACAGATGGGCACTGCCCTCACGGCTGTGGATGTCGAATGCATGATCAAGGAGTTCAACAAGGACGACGATGAGTTTGGAGGCTTCATCCAGAGCGGCAGATTAGACGAGTGCGGCGGCGGAGCAGCAAGGAGTTGAAGGAGTCAGTTACCGTCATCATAGCGAGATCCCAGATTGGCGATTGATGGAATCGACGTCACTAGCGGTCTTGGACGGGTGATGGAGGACGTGGAAGTACAGCCAGAAGTGGTAGCCGAACTTTGAAATCAGTCCCGGTGGAACCAAGTATTGACAAGAAAGAATCAGCTGCTGCCTGTAACTAGAAGGTGAAAAGGGACAAAAGATACCGGAAGGGAAGCAGCAAGAAGAAAGTACTGCCAAAGCTACCGTATTGTACATTTGTCCGATTTCTCATGGTTTCTATAGAGCAAAATGGAAGCTTGCTTTTCACAATTTGGGAAGATAAGGAGATTGAGAGTTGCCAGGAAAAGAAAATTGGAAAATCCAAGCACGATGGATTCCTTCTTTGACTTTGAAGATTCTGAGGTGCTGGAAGACATGGGAGAGACTTGCTGGGTTGGAGAAGGTAGTGGGCAGAGCAAATGGTGAATTCTTAACAAGTGGCGAAGAGAAAAAAAGGAACTGCTGCTGGCTTCTAGTTCTTTTTCTTGTTGTCGTGGAAGAATTGTTCCTATGGTTTTGCTGCTACCGGAGTAAACTGTAGCATTGATATGCTGCAGTTTAGGGGAGGAAATTTCAATAGTAGCGTCTCAGTGTTGGTGGACATGATAATTATTAGGCTCCGAGAAACGATGTCAAAATATGTTCCAGCAGTAGTGAACTGAAGCTTGTTTCAGTAGACTTCAGTTCAGGGGAGGAAATGGAAGCTGTGGTGGTCATGCAAAGGAGCTATTGGGTTCTGTGATGGGTTACATTTGCTTTTGGGAGCTGCAACTCTAGAAGAAACAAGCGAAGTAAGTGCCTTGAGAGTTATTTGTTTGTTATCCTGGTTATGGCAGCTTAGTGATATTGCAGAATGGGAGTGTTTATTGTTTTATGCTGTCAAGTACGTACATTATGAATGTTGTGCGTGGGATTGTAGCATAAGTTCAATTGGAGGCTTTCAGAGAAGTAGATGATGAGGAATGATTGGATTAGAGGAATCTATGGTTGTGCAAGGATGCTCGGGGAACTGTTTAAAGAAATGTTAGCCAGACATACCTACGAGTGAAGTACGTGGTGTAACCTGTGAGTGAAGCAGGTTGAGTGTTAGTGTCAGCTAGACATACCTACGAGTGAAGTAGGTGGTGTAACATGTGAGAGAAACATGTTTGGTTTCAATGTCATTCGACGAGTATGCAGCAGAGTGGCTGGTCCTTATTCGGTGGGCGAATGGCTGGTTTAGAAGTACTCAGTTGCTATGTCATGCAACAAGTAACAATTTGAGTACTTGCAAATAGCATTTTGTGGTGCAGTTCTCGCTTGTTGGCAGATGACACAGAAGAAGAGACCTAAGAGAATAGGTCTAGAGAGTACAGTGAAGAAACCAGAAGTGAAACAGTTGAGCATGTCTTGCTAGTAAGAAGGTAAAAGAAAGCCAAGTTGAACTGAAGCCAATCTCATTGGAGGCTAGCATAAAATGTGTGAGTTGATTGATAGTGTTGTTGCAAACTCTCAAGATGCTGAAAAGTATGAAGTTGCAATTGATGCTACTGAAGGAGTGAAGTTGTTGTTGTTAATGTGTTAGAGGCTGATGCTGCAGAAAGTTAGAGCTCACAGAAATATAGCTTTGAAGTAAACTGAAACGTTTCAGTTTGAGGAGAGGCAGAGGTTCAAACCCATGTTTACATGGAACGAACAAAGTACATGAAACAAACAAACATGTAAAGGTTATACTGCCTGTGAAACTTTTCTATTGATTTCAAAGAGGGGTTTGGAACAGCAGCTCATTGCCTTGTGCAAAACAAGTGGTTTAGAAGGAATCTACGGTGTGGGTTGGAAAGGAAGTTAACTTGAAGGCATTTGAGCAAATTGCGACAGCAGCTCAACCATTATCAATTAGTAAAGCTATGAAGTTGAAAATGCTTATTTAGCTGCTGAAGAATTGCTGCCAGATCGTTGCTAGGGGGAATAAGAAAAAACACCAGGAATATGCTTGAGGAAGCAAGAAGCTATTCAAGGTAGTTTGTTTACCATTCAAGATGTCATGCAATTGAAGGAGCTTATGCTGAAGTTTGGTATGCTGAAGTTTGATAAACTCAAATGGGAAACATTTTGAGTTTAGGGGAGGATTTGTTGGGCTTATTTGGTTGGGGTTTTAGTTAGTCGTGTTCATTAGTGCAGGTGTTTTGTAGCTGAGTCAACAACAACATAGTGGTTGTTCATTAGTTCCTGAAATTAAGGGATATGGGTAGAGTGGTGGCCGAGATTTATGCCTTATAGTTGGTTAGAGTTGTGTATTTATGTAGACAATTTTCATTCAACAAAAGTGAATCTAGTTTTCCACCTTTAAGTTTTACACACGTGTAGTAAGGACAAAACAAGTCTTAGTCCTAGTTAGTATAGGAATTTGTTGTAGGGACAGATTTGAACACCCGAATTACGTAACAAGATAGAATTTAGAAAGAAATTTAGATTGGTTGAGAGGAGAATTGGACAGAATGGGGTGATTAGAAGTTTGAGAATTAGGATTCTTGGAAGAGTTTAAAGCAAAGAGGGATACATTGATGATACTACTACTTCTCCTGTAGACACAATCAATGTTGATGGCGTTCAAGTTTGAAACCCAGTTTACAATCATTGGTTTCGTCAAGATCAACTTGTTCTCAACATTCTGTTCCCACCCATCACTCAAGTGGTTTGCCCTTTTAAAAGTTTGGCTTCTTCCTTTCTTGCTGCATGGGCAATTTAGTTTGTTTGTATTCCAATAATTCTCGTTCGCAGGTCACATGATTCTTCGTAACCTCTCATTGGCCAAGAAGAAAGGTATCCGTTAATGGTTAATTAGTGATTGACCAAACTATCACCCCTGATATGAAGTCTGAGTGCTTATTAGTAGCATATGTACAAACATTCTCTTTGAAGTTGTCTCACATTTTTATTTGTCATTTTGTGAATTTAGTCATCTTATTTATGAATTATATTTATTATTTCTTTCCAGGGAGGAAAACTCTGCTGTTTGAATTTAATGATTTGCACGCTGACTTCTTGAACAACGATTAATAACACAGTTCACACCTCTTCGAACAATGTTCGAACAAGGGTGTTTGATGTTTTGATGGGTGAATGGGAACATGCTAAGTTACGTTTATCTACTCTTATGGAGGTTCAGCGAGAGCTCCAGAAACTAAAGCTATGGCTAATTTGCAGAGAAAGATAAAAGTTTGACATTGTGCATAAAATGTTTGGTTGTGGGACTTTTTTCTCATCTTTGTTTTTCCTATTTATAGCCATTGGCTGTAACTGCCTAGGGACTCCTTACCCCATCTCGGTAACCGCTAACGAGTCGTCTGCTCCAAACACCTTAGGGACTCCTTTTCGTCGCCTTGGTAACCAATTGGTAATAGTTGTCTTGGTCTTCACCCCCATTGCCTTGAGGCCTCAGTCGTAGGTTTGGTGTTGAGTCTTGTTGCCTTGTCCTGACTGGATGAGGTTGACGTTATGTGCCTTGCTCCATGATGAAGTCTTGACCCCTTGGCTTGATACCCCCTGCTACCAAGCCAGTCATGCCGACCCCTACTACCAAGTCATCCCTACCGTCTTGGTCTCCATACTTAGTGTTTTGAATCTCATCAAGTTGGCACCTTGCCAGCCTACCAAGCCTCTTTCATTGACTTGGTACCCTGTCGTTTGGCCCCCTGTTGCTATGACTGGTATGACACCCTATCGTATGCCCCCTGTTGCTATGGGATTTCATACTTAGACAAATTTCATGCTTGGGTACCAGGCCTGCTTTGCCGCCTTGGTACCTTCTTGGCTCTATACTTAGCCAATTTCATGTCTGGGTACCAAGCCGACAAGCCTGCATTGTCGGCTTGGCACCCTGTTACTTGCCTACCAAACCTATTTTGCCCTTAGCATTCCAGACCTCTTTTGTCGGCTTGGTACCCCTGTCGTTTGACATCTTGTTTTGCCGCCTTGTTGGAGCTATTTTGCCCTCGGCCTACCAAGCCTTTTCGTCGGCTTGGTACCATGTCGTTTGACACGCTATTTTGCCGCTTTGTTTCTAGACTTTGTTTTTGGAGCTATTTTGCACTCAGCCTACCAAGCCTTTTTCGTCGGCTTGGTACCTTGTCGTTTGACATCTTGTTTTCCCGTCTTGTTTCCAAACTTAGTTTTTTTTTAAAGTAAAATTTCATACCAAGGGGATGGAGGAATCGTCCGACTGTGGGAGCGGCCGACTGCCAGGCCAGGGATATGGAGCTTGGCCACTTAGCCCCAAAAACCCAACCCAATAAGACTCAGCTTGCTCATTAAATGTTTAATATTGAGCTAATCTTATAAAACCATTAATTCTCTTGTAATTAATCGATTTGGTACTAGTTGATTTTTTTATGAGTAAACAAATGTCCCACAACTTAGGGTATAAGCTATGCACTAAGTTGTTGAAGCTCACTCTAACCCTGAAAATCAAGGCATCCCCGTAGCTATTGCCTTGGCCACAGTTTGGCCAAGTATCAATAACTGTCTAGCGGTAATTAAAGTGGCTAGAAACCTAGCTTGACTGAAAGCAACTTTTCTTCTATCAATCCTCCACCCGCCTGGTCTTGAGCCAACAATTCTTTTCTTCAAAATCAAAGATTGGGATTGTTATTCTCCTCCCACCGCAACTTGATAAATTATTCCCATGGTATCAATCTTTGATTTAATTAACTAACTCTTCCTTAGTTCCACCGCCACAAGTGATCAATGGCAACTCTTCCAGCCGTGTTTACTTTTTACTTTCGTCCACCCAGCTCCTACTTAAGCTCGACAATTGAGATAAATCTTATTCAAGCTTTGTTGGGTTACCATGCCACTCTTTCAATCCCTCCCCCACATAGCTTGGTGGCCAATTAATCGCCATGGCACTGAGACCGTACATATCTAGGGAACGGATCAGGTCAGTAAACTTATGGTGAGTAACCATGAATAACCAGCCCACATCAGCATGACATCAGCATCCTCTCTTTCCTGGAAAACCTTTAATTTTCCCCTTTTTAATCTTTGACGGACGATTTCTCACTCATTTTAAGTCGAATTTTTTTTTTTGCACAGTTAGATCAGATTAATTGTGCTCTTCAAAATGATATCCACTTTAATATATTTTTCGAACAAAAAAATTGAGCCATTTTTTACCAGTCTATACCATATGGTATTGACTGGTATTGAAATAAAAGCATACCTATGGTTT